CTGTATTTCCCTGTATTCTTGGGTAATATACCTGGTTGACAAACACACGAACTTATAGGCTGACAAACCGAACCTACCTCACGCTGCCTGCTGCTTGCTGCTTGATTGCATGCTTGCTCGCTTGGCGCCTTTGGTATATTTTGCTTAATTATAGTGCCTCTCCGTTCAATGTATATATTGCCAGCAGATTAGAGCAAAGAATACCAGCCGCCAGAAGCAACATCTCCTCGAGTGTCCCGCCCTGCGCGGTCACAATCCTCCCCATCCTCAGTCCGCCCCGACCAATGGCGTAGGCAACGTCAATGGTTACGGCGCTGCTGCAAACGGGCCTGCTGGTGGCCCTGGTGCCGGGTCAGCCACTGCCACCCTCCCTTCTGCCAGTAGCTCCATGATGACCAATGGAGTTAACCCCCATGGTAGTGCTTTGCAGACACCCATGCAGAATCTCTCCAGCCGCCCCTCCCTCCCTTCCCAAGCTCCTCCTCCTCCCTCTTCGTCCTCCGCCGCTGCTCAGTCACAGCAGCGTGCTCACAACACCCCCAAGTCTTCGAAGCAGCCCAGACAGAACACCTCAAGTCTCCCGGCTCCTCCGCTCGATGACGTGCATGCGGCCTTTGTAGAGTTCCGCGCGAAGGAAGAAGATAAAGTGCGTTTTACGTGTATCGATATCTGTCTCTATACATATCTGTACAATATTACTTTGTATAGACTAACTGTTCCCACAGTGTCTCTCTGTCCAATGCATATACTGTCAACAAGTCCGTGCGAAAAACACGAGCAGACAGCGCCAGCATCTGCTAGAATGTCCCCCCTACCTAAATGTCATGAAGGATTCAATTCCTGCCAACAACCTTCAACACTCGTTCCCGGAAGGGGACATAGCCCGCTCTCTGCAGCTCCCAACTCCCTCATTGGAACTCGACTTCCGCATGAGTGTTAAATTAAACCCAGCGGTGACAGTTGGACAGGGCATCTGGGGCCAAAGAGATTGGATCACGTTTGTTGGTGGACAATGGGCAGGACGATGGGGCAAAGGGATTGTCTTGGTATGGGGCCCGCCTCCCAAATGTCCCATACTCAAGCGGTGCGCTCTTACTAACTATACCCACCCCTCATCTAATAGCCCGGAGGCCAAGACTCGCAAATTGTCGTCAAGGAGCTCTCCACCCACATCAAAGCAAACTACCTGTTGCAGACAGCAGATGAACAACCAGCCTTCATCGTTGCGAAGACCACAGGTTGGATGACTGGTGCAAAGGACGTGCTGGAGAAACTTAGCGATCCATCCATGGCGGATTCGGTCAACCCTAACACGTATAAATACCGCATCAACATCTCCCTGGAGACCGGAGACGAGCGCTACGCCTTCGTGAACACGGTCATGTGGGTTGGCAGTGGCTGTCGTCGCTCGTCGGAGGGTAAGCAATCGATCATCTCTCAATCCATAGCCACGTTCAGCTAACTCTATTCGTTTTTACGTAGTTATCTTCGATGCATTCCGCATTACCTAGATAGATGAGACGCGTCCTATTTCTGTGAATTTCTTTTTCTTTTCTTTCTTTTATCTATGTGCCTGGGGCTTTTATATATGGGGTAAAGGCGATTTTAATAGGAACAAGCTGTCTGGCTCTGTGTCGCGCTGTCTTATCTGTCTCTCTGTGTCTGTCCATTTATATCTCAATCTCGAGTGGAATAAGGAAGGTGTCGCGGTGAAATTGGGTTGGTTTCTTTCTCTCGTTTCAGTTTCTATCTTCCTTTTTCGGGCCGAAAAAACGGCCCCCCGCCCTTCCAGACGGAAGCGTTTCTATTGCTCTTATAACAATTTACTTTGCCTTTTCCTTTCATTTTCCTTATTCTGCTTGCTTGACTTTGCGAAAATACCACCCTTCGTATCTCTGAGATGTTCAGTTTTTTTCTTTTTTTCTTTTCGTTTTTTAAATTTATATGCTTTACTTCTCGTCTTCGTTGTCTTCATATCTATACTCTTTATCCTCTCACAACTGTCTTGTTTTTATATATTTTGTCTTGCTACCTTTTGTTCTCTTAAATGCAGTGACCTACTTTCTTGATCCTCTTTTCCACCGGTGGATTTGTGTTTTTCATTCATATTTTTTTTTTTTTTTTTCTCAGCTGAAGATCAAACGGATAAATTGATATGCGTCGATCTCCCTTTCCCCTTTACTCTTTTCTTATGAGAGTAGTTTACATCCCCACACCCCCCTTTTACCCCCACGAGAATAAACTATGCAAAATTGATTTCTATTACAATCCGATGTCAGTGCCCTAAGTCGCTTTTCACAACAACACAACTGGCGATTCCATGTTGTCATGTTATGATTTGCTCTCCCTTCGAAATTGCAAGACTTCAGTTTTTAATACAGAAGATATCAGGGGTAGCTACAACCCTCTTTAATACATCACTTTTATCTCAACTCATCAGATAATGCAATTACGGATTTGCCGTTACATGTGAATGTACCAAAAGGATGGAAGGTTATGTCCCTACTTCCGTCATTTACATCTGCATATACCGTATCTGTATGATACGGGCCCTGATTGACATTG